CTGGTCGAAATCAGGCAGTTAGGTGGTGTGAGTTCATGCTGTACCTAAGTCTTTTGTGCTTACACATCGCAAAAGGTGCCCTTAATTCATCCTTCAATGGTAGGCAACTCTTTAAGCAAATGTATAGTTTTGTTACTCTCCCATCACGGATTTGAAGCCATGAGGTGCTCAAGTATGCTGAGTGAAGGACTTAATACATCTGCAAAACTTGGAGCCAGGGCTCCGTTAATTGTGCAGAGAATCTCATTCAAGATGTTATTACTGCGATTGTCTGCGCAGCCCTACAGGCCTTGTCACAGGCAAGAGGGGGACTGACGGTATCCTGGTACCACAGGCTTGCCAGGCCACAACCACTTTCACTGGAGATTTAAATGTCGGTGCCAAACTGCACTGCTGGGGTGTGGGGATGTGCTGTGATGATCTGCTGGTACCGCTGTGGGCAGCAGCGAACTCCAGCAGTCGAGCGGTGAGATCTGAGCCCCTTGCTGCAGTTTCCTCAATGAACTTGATCGAGGGGAAGTTTTGTGATTGGCCCCACTAGGTCTCACTTGTATTAGTGCGTGAGGCCACGCAGATGTGTGTGACTGGGCGCTAAGAATCATTCACATGGGTTAGGCATTTCTGTTGCAACTGCAGGGACAAGTGCAAAGCCGAGTTTATAACTGAATCCACCTGAAGCGTAAAGTCTTTATCCACCTGAGTCTTTGTACCTCTTATGTATGCCATCCATGTTGACAAAATGCTAATATATATGAAGCATTTAGGAGGTAGGGACCAACGTGGTTAAGTTTGTTGCCATGATCTTAGTTTGCTTCCTTGCGTTTAGTTGTGATGTGGGAGTCCAAGTTCTTGCTTTAAACTCAAGGTGAGACCTGCTCAGGTAATGTGTAATGAATGAACTTTTCTTGACTGCAGCATCTTGCCATCTTGTAGGAATTGGAAGGTGTGATGCAAATGAGTTGGGATTGCAGCCAAAAAGAAAGACAGCCTTCATCTAAGGCATAAAAACTAGAATGCACTTTTAGAATATTTATCTGATTTAACTGTTGGCTTCTGCTAGAAGGTGTTTGTCCTGCTTTTTCTGGCTGTCTGTTCCTGCTGTATTACGTTGGATCCATGCAGTTGTCTAAAGACATAAACTGACTGAAAACTTGTGCAATGCACAGATGAAGAAGAAAAGTGTGTATGGTTATCAGATCTTGCAAAAGAGGCAGTGGAGGGAGGGAGAGCAGAGCTGTGCTTTAAACGGCAGTCTGCAATTAGATCAGATTTAATAAGATACTATGAAATGGTACAATTAAATTATCTCCCTTCTTCCTGAAGATGCTATTAGAGTCTAATCAGATTATTTAGATCACTTTCGCTACTGTTTATGAACAGCACGTAACTTAGTTTCTGAGCTGTAAGATTGATGGTGTGATTTACAAAAGTATTGTGCATTTAGGGCATGGTTACTTGGGCATTTTTTTGATGGCAATTTTCTGGGCTATTTTTTCTGTGCCTTTCCTGTTCAGACAGTTGAACAGCTGCAACTAGTGAAAGAAGAGAGTAAGAAGTAATCCTGAGACCCACAAACAATTGTACTGTTTTGAAGAAATGGTGTTTAGTTAGGTAATGACTAAGGTGGGACACAGGTGGATTGAGAGTGGCTTTGAGCAGCTTTACTGCTGAGGAAGCTTTCCATGAAACCAAGGCCGCAACCTGCCTTAGAGCAATCAAATTTTCCTCAGTGGGAGAGAAATATAATGCTTCAAACATTTGTAGCTTTCCATTTTCTATCTACTCTTGAATTGAAATGCAGAAACACCCCCCCCAACATATTATTCCAAACTCTTTGGAAATAGCTAAAAGATGCTAATCTAGATAGATTTCTGCTGTACTTAAATTGAAATGACAGAAAGTGAATTTGCCATGTCATTGCTGATTGCAGTTACTAAACGCCTTTATTTTTAGGTAACTATAGGCCGAGGATTAGATCTCACGTACCAGCTGGTGTCGAAAACCTGTCCCTTGATGATCTCTCGTAAGCACTGTGTTTTCCAGCAAAATGCAGAAGGGCAGTGGACTGTCAAGGACAACAAGGTACAGAGACTAATTAAAGACCTTGTATTCAGATTCACGGAAGACAATGCCCTGTTTGGGCTCAAGCAATGTATGGGCTGTGATATAACATAAGTGTGATAGAAAGTCACATGAGAATGTGTCTTGCCTGTTGTGCACTTCCAGCAGGAAGCTTCAGTCTGCTGCAATTGGGATGCAAAGCATATTGCTTTATGTATGTAGATTTGTCTCTTGGTTTAGCATTTTTCAGACAATTGTAGTGTTGCCAAGGGCACTTTGCAGTCTGTGAACCTGTTTTGTGTTGCTTGCTTAAAAAAAAAACAATCCTATGAACTTGGGCAGTATTCAAAAGGATAATGTTCTTGTACTGCTAATGAAAGGATAAACTGATACTCCTTATTGTAGTGACACAATTGCTTTAATTATAATCAACTACAAGAAGAATCTGTTGTTAGAAAAACCATGCTTTGTGTTACTTTCAAACGAGTTTCTTCTGAAAGTTGATTAGAAGAAAGTGTTGGCATGTGAGTCCTCAGCTAGGTCTCACTTTGACTTCAGTAATCTGTTTTTTGTATCATGATCTCTCCACTTTCTCATTCAGGCTGAAAACTGTAAAACCAGTAACTTGCTTTAAAACTGGTAGAACAAAAATGTTCAACATGTCATGCAGATTTGAAGGATGTTTGGGTCAACAGCAGATTAGTCAGAAAGGAATGGAGTGGCTAGTATAAAAATTACACTGCTTTTAAACAAAACTCTGTTGCAGTACTTGTATAAACCTGAATACTTACAGTTATTGCATGATTGGAAACATCTATAGTAGATTAACTATTAACACTTCCTCTGTGTTATTGCTGCTACCAGTTTGTCAAGTTGTTTATTGAATCTTTGAGATACATCAGTTGTTAATAATTCCACAGTTCATCTTAAGCACAGGTCAGTTTTACTGTTTTTCAAAACTATTCCTTGAGCTAGTCTAGTGTCTAATTTAAAAACCCTTTTTCTGTTTTGAACATTATCTCCAGAAGAACATTTTCCTTCTTGTCTATATTCTTCCTGTATTTATGGAAAACCGACTCTTTTTTTTTTCTTTTATCCTGTTTCTTTTCTAGTTTTTTCTTGAATTTCAAGTGACATTAATTGTCAAGAATAATTACTGCAATATTCTGCATTCTTGACAACGATCTATCAGAGAGTCTTGTCTTTTTATTGGTTAGTTCTTGTTTCTGAAGCTTCTTTTTCCCTTTAGAGTTCATTCTGTTTCTTCTGCACAACTGCATATATAAATGTTGTTCTTAGTGCTTGTACACAAAATCTGTAATGCAGGAATAATGCACGGTAAATAATAAAATGCAATGACTGTAATGAATGGGATGCTAAGCCAATAAATTGGATATTGCAAGGTTTATTTAAAGAGGTAGCTTATTTCACTGAAGAGGTTGGATAAGTTTACAGTTGCCAGAAATAACTTGCAGAGGACTCTCTAACTGCATATTAAATTTTGCTGATTCTCTGTCCATTTGCAGAGTCTAAATGGAGTCTGGCTTAACAAACAGCGCCTGGATCCCTCCAAAGCCTATCCCGTCAGTGAAGGAGACCGTATCCAGTTGGGAGTGCCTTTGGAAAACAAAGAGACTGCTGAATATGAGTATGAAGTAATTAAAGAGGAATGGGAGAAAATAAGACCCTTTTTAGCCCAAAGGAGTGACCTGGGGAAAGCTAAGAGTTCAAGAACTAAACGTAAATTTAGTTTGGAGGAATTGGAAACATCTGGATCAGAAGGCCCTTCAAACTCCAGATCCAAAAGAGACAGAGTGTCCTGTGACAATGAACCTTTGGGTAAATCATGGGGAAGGGTAGAAGAGGCCAAACAGTTAACAGAGCAGACGGATGTCAAGCTGCCTTCTCCTGGACCAAGTGAGGAGGATAGTGGTCTGGTCCGTCGTAGCCTTGTGCACTCCAAGAAAGCTGTGTCTGTCCCCCATAAGGACCAGAAAGGCTCTGGTCTTGCACAGTCATGGACTGGCTTGGAAATGCTGAGGAAAACTCTAGTAGATATAATGAAGTTAAAGGTCAAAGTGCAGGAGAAGCAGACAGCAGTTCTGAATGTGAAGCAGAAGCGCAGGAAGTGTGCTCAGAAGGAGATCCTGGCAATGGAGCAGGAGCTGCGGGAGTTGCAGAACCAGCTGTGCATGGAACAAGAGCATCATCATCAGCAGGTGGAAGAGCTGGAGAGGACATTCTCTAAAGAGCAGCAGAAGCTAGAGGTATAATGGTGATAATCTTTTTGGCCTGTGTCTTTTCATTTTTGTGGAATGCCTAATGTAAGACATGGATCCAAAATAAGATCTTGAACCATACGGTAACACAAATAATGTTTGTGTGAATTACACCTCTTAAAATTGTCATGGAAGTATTTGACTTCCAGACATGTGTACCAAAAGAAAGTGCAGAGACAGAAGGGATTGGGCTACATGGGGAATTAAGAAAAAGGTGTAAAATAATCTAAAAAAATTTTTTTACAAATAGGTTCATTATAGCAAGATAGTAAAGCATTTCAGTTAGTAAAAAAGCATGGTTTTAAATAAAAAATCAAAAATGTCTGCCTGATCTCCTGTGGTTGCAGAGAGGACAAGCTGGAAGGTATTCACCTTAAGTGTGACTTTCTCTCAGTATATGGCTAAATTAATGCCCAGTTTGCATGGTGAATCTATTCCCTTTCCAAGCAAGTGAATTATTGTATGCCTTAATCCCTGGAAGGAGGGAGATTTTTTTTTCGTACTTTCAAAAAAACCTTTCTTTCAATCTATAGGTGTCTTCAAGCAGTATGTATGTGTTGATAAGTAGCTTTTTTAGATAACACACTGAAGTCTTTCTATTTGAGTTTGCTCAAAATCTGGTTTAAAGGAAGTAAGGATTCATCTTAGAGTGAGTTTCATAATTTATCAGTTACTTCCTTCAAAGATTGCTGCTGAAGGCAAGATACCTGTATCAGAAGCACAGAAAGTCTGGAGTTGTGTGCTTAGGCACAATGGGAAGTTCAGCTGGAGCTGTAGGTATCTCTAACCTCTTTGAATGTGCTCAAAGATAGAGTTGCAGCTTTTTCGCATGTTCAAGCTGTTGCTGACCTCTTTGCTTCTATGAACACTGGTGCCTTTAGAGCTAGAATAACATGGAGGTGTTCCAAGTATATAACTGTAAATGATATATCCATTTTAACTCTTCACAGCAAATGATAGCTCTAATTTCTGTCATACACATGTAACACTAGAGTGGGACATCTTGGGGTTTGCTGAAAACCGGTGTTGTTTCTTTAAGCGTATCCTCTAAAGAAAGTGTGCAGAATAGTCATTTTCTGTCCCTTGCTTTCTTCAAGTAATTTGCAGTTTGTGTTGTGTTTTGTTTTTTTTCTTCCTCCTTCTTCCCCTGCCCAGGGAGTAAAGTGGCAACATGGGGAAGAGAATCTGAAGGAGCAGCTGGCCCAGGTCCTGCAAGAGGCAAGTAGTTACCAGTCTGGGTTTGGTCTAACTGTGTAAGTCAGATATTTAAATCTTTCTTACTGCTGTGGCCTCTTGGTAGAAGACAAGGACTTTGCCTGAGGTGCAGATTGGATGATCTTCATCTACAGACCGAATTTCTGTCAGAAAGTGCCAGACCTCACTATGGGAGTTGCTTTTTGCCCGCAAATATTGTGAGAATATGCACTCTAACTTGAAAACCTTAAGTAGCTGCAATGATTTTTTTCTTTTTATTTGAATCTGGTCCTTCAGCTGGTGGGCTTTTTTGTGAGGTCTGTCTGCTGGGTATCTGTTTTGGGGAATTTGTTTTGGCAATTTTAACCAGATTAAAAAAAGTTCAGTCTTGGTTAGGAGTGGTTTTGACAGATTGCCACACGTAGGTTTCCTAGGCTTTTTTTCCAAAAGGCCTTTCCTTTTGGAAAGCTAATCTGAGAACAGCTTCAAGTAACCCTGCATACAGTGACAGGTTTTTGTGATCCTTATGTGTCAAATACCCCTTGATACTCAAATTTGTCTCAGATGCCCTTAAAGTGGTGACTGTAAAACCTAACTGAAATGAGAGAGTAACCTAGGAGAGGGAATGAAAAGTGCCATGATACTGGGAAGGTAGTAAATAACTGGCACTACGTTCCAATTTTGAATTAAGGCTGAATTGCCTTAACACCCCAACTCATATAGATATGTGTTGCTCTTTTAGGAGAGCTCTTTTCAGTATGCTGAACCTCATGATTATGGCCATGTATATTTAATAGGATAGTTTATAATGGTACTGTTATAAATTCTGGGATGGTATTGTTACAGCATCATGCTTTGATGGAAGAACTAAGCCGTAGTAAAAAAGATTTTGAGGAGATAATTCGAGCCAAGAATAAAGAACTGGAAGAAACTAAGGTAAGGAATAGCTGAATTCTCAGTTTTACTCATAAGTGAAACATGATGTGCTGCAGCAGAGGAAATGGTTCATTTAACATTTGTCTTGACTGTACTTTGTCTCCCATAGTAAAAAACTCCTGTATCTTGAGGTGACAGCTGACTCTAGTTTCCAGGATTGAGGAAGGATACACCTTGATTCATAAATTATTGTTGAACAGTCATTACTAGATCTTTCTCAATCATAAAGCAAGCCCAGAGCACCTGGGCAGGAGAAGTGGGCCCATTCCACCCTTTCTTTTTTAAAAAAAAAAAAAAAAGTTTGAAAACTGAGGTGCTTCATTTTCAGTCAGAGTGTGTTCCAGTAAAACTTTAGTCTTTCAGCAGTCCTACAAGGGAGTATAGGACTGAAACAACATGGAATTTGAATAATGAATGAGAGAAGCCACATTTCTTCCTGCCCTTGATACAAGGTGACGAGTGAAAAGTAATTAAGGAGATCCTTTCTTGTGTATTACTCTTGGAAATTATCACATTATCCACCTCTGACTGTTTGCTTTATTTTTTTTTTGATGTCGTCTTTGCGACTCTGTTGTTGTTACAAGTATAGCTTCAATTGGAAGAATTTCTCTGTTATTTTTAGAAGATAGAGCAGGTATTTAGGAGCCTAATTTAACTCCAAACAAAAAAAAAATGTATTGGGCAGTTAAATGCAAGTAAATGTTTTAAATTCTTATGCTTCCTTTTTTTAATATTGAAGGTATTTTGTCTGTTGGGTGTTTTGCTTTCTACATCAGACATCCAAAAACTGTTTTGTTGACTTAAACCAAACTCATGCCAGGAAGAAGTTAAAAGAGATTCTGAAAAGATTGATCCAGCTGGTAGTTTCTTTAGGCTGAGGGGGATTTTGGTAATGGCTGCTGTTATTGCTTCTAAGTTCTCTGCAGTGGGTGGGAATATTCTCAATACTGCTGTGACTACAAAGAGGAGAGAGGTTACAGATCTGGGTATATAATAGATGCAGACTTGACATGTGGAGATTTGTATGATTTTTTATTTGTACTACCTTCCTCTGCATGTGCACTTCCTGCCAATATTATGTTGAGTAAAACCTTGTTCTTTGTTGATACGTGACCGCATGTACTTTTCCACTAGGAGGAGAAGGAAAAGGTGAGAGCCCAGAAAGAAGAGGTGTTGAATCAGATGAATGATGTGTTGGAGAATGAGTTGCAGTGCACAATCTGTTCTGAGTACTTTATCGAGGTATGTTTAAACAGTTATGGGTTTGCCAGTAAAGAAGAGACTTGAGAAGCTTTCCCTAGTTCTATTAAACCTATAGTCAAGCTTATTTCTTTACTTTGCTAGTTTAACGGTCCCAACAGACCACAGTGAGTTGTGGGCAAGGGTTGGTCCAGAAATCCATTCCGTCTGCCCTAACTCTTCTCCTGGGCAGCAAGTTCAGCTTTAATGTCTCTACCTGCGTAGAGATGAGTGCTTTAATCCTAAGATGCGTGTATGCCTGCAGCAGTTTTGGGTGGTTTTGAACTGGTGCTCTGAGCTGCTGCTGACAGCCTGCTTGGGGAAGAATCATTTTGTAGTGGACCTTGCTTTAAGTTCACTAGCATTGGACTGCTTCAGGTTTAGATATAGGAAGAGGATAGTAAAGAAAGGGAGGTGCAGTGTTCAGTCAAGTCCTGAACTGTTTATATTGTTCAGATAAACTCTTTCTTTGAGAAATTGGCCTGCTTTCATTTGATTGTAGAAGTGATAGGCTATGCATGAAATGTAGACTGTTATTTCTGTTTGTGTTTTGCTAGAACTTCAGTTTCATTACATTCATTTCTACTACAGGGTACCTGATGTGTTAGCCTTGTTATAATCACCTAAGAGGTAGCTGCAATTCTAATTTCTGGTTTCTCAGTAATTTAAGATGCTATTGCAGTATCTGATTTTTTTCCGTAATTTATCCTTTTCAAATTGGGGAAACTTATAATAGAATTAATTCTTTTTGTCTGTGTTTCTGACTTGTTATGATCTATGGTGAATCCATTAACCGACTTGTAAAACTTATCTGCACTCTGACATGGGAGAGTTTTTGTGTGTAACCCCTACGAAGACTAAAGACAAGGGGCTTAGGGCTTCTCCCCCTCCTTCTCTTACGGGAAGTGTTCATCTAATGTTTTTCTGACTTCAGTACTCTTTTTTTCTTGACAATGCTTGTGTGAGTGTGCACTGATAAGTATCCTTCCGTTGAATTCCACAGGCAGTCACTCTGAACTGCGCGCACAGCTTCTGCTCCTACTGTATCAATGAGTGGACGAAACGTAAAGTGGAGTGCCCTATCTGCAGGCAGGAGATCAAATCAAAGACACGCTCTCTGGTGCTGGATAACTGCATTGACAGGATGGTAGAAAAACTAGATGTGGAAATGAAAGAGCATCGCCTGACCCTTATCAGAGCGCGGAAAGGTGAGAGGTGGGTGGATGTGGCATGATGAGTACAAGCTCTCATTCCATCTATTTTGTACAACTTTCTTTGGCACCTATATACCAAGGAGATGCTTGGGCAATGCAGCAGAAACACTAGGAGATTAATTTTAAGATATGTTGCGTAACTAGCTTTACTGCACAGTAAAATAAAATTAAGTTTGGAAAAAGACTTCAGTATGAATTCCACAGTAGAGTGGGACAACTTAACCGTGCTAAACATTACACTGTTTTGAAGAGATCACTAAATAAAAGCAAAACTATATAGAATGGGCTTTGAAAAATTTACCAGGCGCCTTTTGATTAAACCATTCACTACATCATTGCAAAAACTCAGCAGAGCAATGCCTGATGAGAAAGTCAGAATTATCTTCTGTGTGCTAGATTTGTGTAGGAAGTCTCAGAAGGGAACGTTGGTATGTCATGTAAGTGTATGGCTGAACTGGCGGTTGCTCTGCCATGTTAATTTTAGTGGCATTAAAACCACTGTGGCTCAAATGCGTAACCTCTTGCCTAGTTGTAGCTAATAGACTGTGCGTGACAGCGATGGCTTTAAGTAAAACTCCAGTATGGTGTATTCCTCTTCTGCTTCCCTCTTCGAAATTTGTTTCTAGAGCACTTGACACTGGTATCTAGGTGCTGAAATGTAGAAGTCTCTTCCTGCTACCACTTAACAAATTTCTATTGCTCTGTTCTCTTAAGTAATTGTCTTGTTTGCCCCTCACAGAGGCGAGTGCATGATCCTTAATTTTGCAATGTGTCAAGCCTTTTACATAATGAAAGATGCTTTTGAAATGTTTCAAATTCTCCATGGGGACATAGAATGACATTGCTAAGCAGTGTTAGTTCAAACCTGAAGTTATAACCTATTTACCAACTCAGTCTGATTCCCTTAGGAAATACTACGCTGCTAGGAGGCTGCCTCTTGTGTAATATGCACATCTGCAGAGTATTCCGTAGCACTATTGAAGTGTCTCATCGGGTAGCTAATGGTGATTAGATGAAGTGGTGCTTTCATTGGAGCCCACTTCATTTCTGTATGGTAAACCAGTGGTCTTCGTGCTTGTTTGGACAAAAAGGAAATAAGCTCATAGCCTGCCTTCATACGTGATAGGTGCTCTAATTATATAAATGACTATTAGTGGGAAATCATTTTGCTTCACCATGACACACTTCAGCAAGGAGGATGAATTGGTTTTGTGCAGTCTTTTTATTCAGTGATGGAAACATTTTGATTGAGATGAAGATAACTGTGTGTCTATTTAAACATGAATTCCTAAGAAGAAACCAGCTAAGAGAGAACTAATGATGCAAGTGGCACTTGAGAAGCTCAGTCAGAGCTTCCCAAGAAGCCTTTCCAAGACGCCTTAGTAGAACAGGCACCAGTAGGACAGCTTGCACTCTTAAATTTTAATGGGGCCCTAAGTGTCCTGAACAACCATTACTTGTTTGAGGGTTTCTTACCATATTTTGTTCCTTCCCTCTTTCTTACCTAGCGAGGCACTGTAATAGTTAGCCACTTCCACTGCCAATCGTGTGCCAGTGAAGGGATGGAGAATGTCTCCTCATCTGTGCTATCTTAACAGGAAAAGCCATATAGGAAACAAGAAAAAAAACCCAACCCTTTACTCTTTTAATGCTAAAAATTGAAAAGAAAAAGGCCTGTGCCCTGAAGCTTGAAAGACCTTTTTGCAAACTGACAGTGAGAGGCTATAAGTTTCAAAGACAACTAATAATTTAGCATTTGTGAGTACAGTGGTCACTGCTAACTTTTGTATCTGTGTGTTTTGAATGCAGAGAAACAGAATGTGCTGGTGAAACCAGCTACAGACAATGACAGCAGTGTCATTTCTTCCATCTACTCCATCTTGTCGATGAGCAGTTGTGACAGTGAGGACTCTGAGGAGGATTCTTACTATGATGAAAGCTACTACGTTATCTAAACACTGTTACTGCAGACACGTCTGCCTGTGTGCTGCCCAGTACCAACTCAATGGTGTTTGGCCAGATAAGCGGACTGGACGTCTGGAAGGAGAGACTCTGTGAAGAGGCTGGAGCTGAGAACTAGCAGCACTTGGAAGAAGGACCTTATTTTTTAAATAAATGTACAGAAGCTTGATATCTTAAACAAAATTGGGATTGTGAGAGAACAAACTGTCGTTATGCTAGATGGTTGACATACAAAACCTAGGCTTCCGTGATTGCTAGTGAGCTGCTTGGTGTAACGTAATAGTTTGTATGCACCACTGCCCTGTCCTTAGTGAATGACATGTTTAAATGTGTTAAATCAGCTTCCCTTATTTCAGGCAGCAGAGAGAATGGCCCAAACTATTAGAGAACTTGGCCATCCCCACCAGCATGGAGGAGAGGTATATCAGGAAGAAGTGCCAACGTGGTTTTTCCTCTTGAATTTCATATGGCAGCTAGAGCCATCCCAGGCCTCTGGCAGTAAAGGTAACAAAGGGTCAGTTATAGACCCTGTCAGCCTTAAGTGCTTAAATGCATTGTAAACTGAGCTGCTGGCCATCAGTTTGCTCTGTTGATGGTACTCATTTTCTGTTAGATAGGGATGAAGAAGATTAAAATTTCCAGAATTCCTTAGCTAGTGCTCTTTTCATATAGTATCTTCAGTTTGTTCCCTCTTCAGGCTTTTGCATAAAGGGTTTTGGAATTTGGAAGGAGCACAGCCAGAAGTTATTAGTGATAACTTCAGAGCACATATAGTTCTTATCAGCAGCAGAGAGGAACCTCTGCCTCTTCAGGAGTGCTGCTATCTGAGTAAGTGAAATGTCCTGTTGGCAGGGTAGGAAAGCAGCATCTGTAGGCAACCACAAGGCACAGAAGGAAGCATTTAGTTTTATTGTTTACAAAACATGCTGTTGAGCTGTGGATTGTACTACCCTCACAGCAAATCACGCATCCCTAAGAGACTGAGCAAGTCTTGCCTCATCCTGTGATGAATTTGTCTATGAAGTTCCGTTTTCAGTGGCATATGCTTTTGACTTAGCTGTTACATGGAAAGGACTGTTTTACACTGAGAAGAGGATGGAGGAAGCCCTTCTCATCGGTAATATTTTTTTGGCTATTTGTACATACTTCCTTGTTTCTATGTTTATTTTGTTTAAGAAGGAGAATACAAATCCATTTCTGCATTAGTCTTTCTTGGCAACCACTGAGATGAATGTCTTTCTCCTAGTTGTCTTAGATTTTTTTTTTTTTTTTTGGAGAAAGCACAGACTATCTCATTTTAGTGACTTTGTTTCATGTTTTGATTGCTGTAAGCAGTGTGACTTAAAGTTATTTGAAAGGCTTGTGTATTCAGGAATTGATAAAAGGCAACCCAACTCTTCAAGCCTGTGGCTATCCTAATGGTAATTGAGTAGATCCAATCGTACCTGTTATCTTCTTCGCTGAAGAAAGATCCCACTAAAAAGGTGCATGAATGATGATGCTGTCCTAAGGAAGGTAGTGCATTTGGACAGATTTGATTGGTAGGACTTAAACAAGGGAGGTTGGTCTGATCTGTGGACCAGGTAACTTTGTTAAAATCTTAGTCTAAGGGTTTTTTTGCGAAGGAGTCATTACATCTTGAGTTTTTCTCTTTCTCTTTTAATGTTTGTTTTCTGTATGTGCTCTTGAAAGTTTCTTTTGTGAATGTGTGCTCTCTAGGATGTCTGAGAGAAGAGAGTTCCTCAAAATGCTTGTGAAATAGGCTGATGTTGGAACAGGCATTCCCAATGGAGAAGAGTGGGAGGAAAATACTCTGGTTACCTAGGACTGCAAATTCTACTGTGTATCACTTCCATGTTTCTGTGCTTTTTTTGTTTGCTTCATTTTGCTCAATATATTTAGTTATGTTGGTGTTTATGCATATTGCAGGGAAGGATAATGCTTCTCCTAGTAACAGAGTAGTTATTTGGTGTGATTTCTGAGTGTGTCCTCTTTTCACTAGAATATGAAGAACGTAAGTGGTATACCAAATCACTTCCACTGTTACTGGTAGGTGCATAGCATGTAAAGGTCCACAGAGAGAGGTTAAGTAATAATACTATTCACTTTTAAGAGCATTTCACTGATGGAAGCAGACCTCTCCTCCCAGTACACTTAAGTTCCTCAGTAAAACTACTGTCAGATACAGAGCTGATAAGTAGACATACTGAAGTGTCAGGCAAACTATTGAGCTTCTGGAAAAGATGTCCATATTTTTAATACTGTGCTCTCCTTTGGTCTAAGGTCTGGATCCTTTCTTCTACTTGATTGTACATCTGAATGTTTCCTTGGAGATGTCATGCCCTGAACTCTTACTGGTCTTGGGATGGCATCAAGCACTTCCAGTGTCGCATCCAGGATTTAGGTTACAGCTCTGAGCTAGTTACAGTTGATGCACAGCAGGCTTGATGCAGGTTCAAGACTTGCTGCTTTCTGTGGGAAGATAGCTGTCATGTAGTGTGATTAATCAAACACTTTCAGAGCAAGATATTGTTTATCAACATCAGCAAGAGTGCTAATGGATTGTGGAACATCATTAGCACGTCCATCATAGAGGGACGGTGCACTGTTTAACTCCTGCAGATCTATGGATTCCAAGATGCATCTGACAATTGCTTTTCTGTTGCACATGTAATATACCACGTTAGTGTTTCGTGAGCCTTAGCAACAACTGTTATTTAACTTTGCAGAACATGTAACTGACAATTTAATAATCCGGCTGTGCCCCCCCCCCGCCTTTAATCTTTTCCGCAGATATGCTCTGACTAGTCAATGTTTTGCTTTCTGCTTATAGTCCTTCTTCCCTCCTGCCAGTCCCTTTTGCCATAACTTCACATATTTAGATGCATACCTTACAGCAACTAGATAATTATAAACTGCACTTCCCAAATGGTATATTCCCATCCCTTGGTGCTACCGTGTTTGTTTTGGTTTTTAAGATGAAACATTCATACCTATATACTGAGCTGTATGCCCCTGGGTTTCAAGCTTAATGTGAAGTACAAGACATCTAATTAGTGTTTGAAATGCTCATGACAATCTATAGACATGTATTAGGCTTTTATTATGTGAAAAGCTTTATCATCACTCTGCTCGAGTAACGGAGCTGCAGTTAGTTAATGGTGAAGGGCCTGGCAGGGAGCAGGCGATAGGCTTTCCTGTAGGCAGGCAGTTTCTTAGGAAATCTGACATTTCCAGTCAGCAGGGCAGGGCAGGCAGCGCAGCAGCCCTGAGCAGGGATCGGGGTGTCCTGCCTGCGGTCTCTGCTAAGGTGGGGTGCTGTTAGGTAGGTCTCCTTCAGAAGCATTAAAAAAAAAGACGTTTTTCTTAGAAAGTGCCACTTTTAAGGCAGTGACTGAATTATTTCTGAGTAAATACACTTTATATACAATATATTTACAAAAACTATATATATAGCAAACATTTTACATAGAATTTCAGTATCTATTCACCCCTACCTCACCTCTATCGAGAAGGACTGAGGCCACCGGCTAACTACTTCCCCAGAGAGCCAGGCCCTGCCCTTGGCCTGC